CTCACACACACACACACACACACACACACACACACACACGCACACATATATAATGTCACACTTTATGGACTTTTGTGTTTGTTTTCATTTCATCCCTCGTGTTCTTTGACCTAATTTCTGTCTCCCCTTGATTGTGTCATTATGTTCAGGAGTTTCGTGTCAATAATCCTCATTTACGTTCCCCTTATAAGTTGCATTCTGTTCAGTGTTTGTTGGTCCGGTATTACGTTTATGTTGGGTGTGTCTACCCTTCCTTCTCTGTGGATTATCTTCGTATTGGATGTTATTAAACTACATATTAATTTCATCATCGTTCTCGTGTGCCTTCCTTGATTCAGCCGTGACATACATACATATATATATATTCTCACAGAATGCAGTTGAATTTAGTTGACAATCAAGACAAATTCATGGTTTCCACAATCCTCCATCACTGAAGACAGATTCAATGTTAAACATTATTTTTCAAGGCCATTGCAAAACCAGGACCAGCTGATGATTTTCTTGCATGAACAGTTGATATTTCAACATTATTGCACAACATACTGATAAAGGCTGGGTTGAAAAAGCAGTAAATGGTCTAAATAAAGGACTCAGCAACTGAAGATCCAGTGATCTCACGACACTAACAGTGAGTTACTCTTATTCTTCAGCATTTACTGAACAGATAATGAATGTATGTGTATTATTTTTCAAATTGGGTTAAATTCAGTGTGATTTTATCCTAAACGAGGAACCTGATCCGTAATTTCTCTCTAGATGACGGTGTTTGTCGTGGTTCTGCTCTCTGTTTTCACGGCGTCTGTTGTTTGTGAATTCAAACCATTTGACTGCTCTGACGTATATAAAGCAGGAGAAACGGTCAGTGGGGTTTACTCCATCTATCCAGCAGGAGACATTCCTGTCTGGGTTTACTGTGAGATGATCTCAGACGGGAAAGATGAAGATAAAGGAGGATGGACGGTACGACTTTAGATCATTAAACACACACCAGCACATTCATTATGAATCATATATTCTCTATAAACCCATCACAGGTGATTCAGAGGAGAATGGACGGCAGTGTGAATTTCTATCGGCCGTGGAAAGAGTACAAGACGGGATTCGGAGCCACAGAGGGCGAATACTGGCTGGGTAACAATTCTCCAGTGATTCTGGGTCGCATCAGTACTAAAAAGCTTTACTGGACACTTAAGCCACTATGAAAATGTGTAAGAGAAAGGAACAATTGAAATCACATCATATGACCCCTTTAAATTATATTCAATTTTTAGTTTTGTTTTCTTTTGATTGTGAAACTTGTGAATGTGATGAAATATACCCGCGTGAACTTGGGGACAAATTACTTCATACATCCATTAAATCACCTCAAAACCAGCTGTGGGAAAAATCATTGTAGATCAAATTGTAAATGCGGCTCTTACTTCTCTTTTCCTCGTTCCGTAATTTTCAGTCACTCGCACATGTGCTGATGTTACAACAGCGCTCATACGACAGGTTGAGCTGAACACGTCCATTCACGCTCACAGTTAAATGAGTATAATTTGAAGGACTTGCACGCTCAACTGTACACGATGAAGCATATCTGAGATTTTAGTTTCATCATTAAGCACATGCAAGTGGCTTTTAAATATAATGCAATGAATTCAAGATATTTTACGTGGGACATAAGTGTCTAACATACACCAAATATGTTTTGGGGCCACTGTATTATGGCTGCATGACAATAAAGTTTTAAAATTGGGTTTATGTCTCAGTAGAACGTCCAGTGTTTGGTTGAAGGTGTTCTTCATGTGTGTGTATGATCAGGGCTGGAGAACATGTACCAGCTGACACGTAAGAGGAAGTACATGCTGAGAGTGGATCTGGAGGACTTTGAAGGAAGGAAAGGTTCTGCTCTGTACTCGTCTTTCTCTGTGGATCCTGAAGCTGACGGCTATAAACTGCATGTTTCAGGATTCACTGATGGAGGAGCAGGTAGGACGCTTTCTTTTATACTCAAGAAAACACATTCTAGTTGGGTTATTGTCTTCAATGATGCTCTTCCTCTTTGCAGGCGACTCGTTGACCGACCACGATGATCAGAAGTTTTCCACCTTTGACAAAGACCAAGATGTCTATGAAAATAACTGTGCTAAAGAGTTTCTGGGAGCATTTTGGTACAAGTTTTGTCACACTGCAAACCCCAACGGTGTGTACTTATGGGGAGAAGACGACACCCATTTCGGCACTGGTGTTGTTTGGTCGACCTGGAAAAACAGCTTCACTGTCAGCATGAAATCCATCGGCATGAAGATCAAACGAGTGTCTTAGAAACAGTGTGTTCAAACATCTGATATTGTTATAATTATATGACAATGTTTAAGGCATTGCTTTTCTTTCTTAACTGAGTAAGCCAATAATGTTCTCGTTCTTTTTGGTCAGCTCTTTGCATTTACTAATAAAACGAGTCAACGCTTGAATCATGTTGATACGCTGATGTGTTTATCTCCTCAACAGACACCAGAAACACTGAATGAGAAACTACTGTAAATGGTAGATAAACAGACTATGTGATTGAAACGAGGATCTTCCTATCTAAATCAAGCCCAGCACACACACTACCATCTTTTCTATGATAACCAAACATTTACCCAGTCTTGTATTATTTACCCATTTCCTGATTAGTTCCCGTTTGCCTTAGTTTCCTCAGGCTATGTTCAGAGTGCAGGCAAATCAGATCTTTTCAGGCAGACTGTCCACATTGATTGTAAGTGATCAAGTCCGATTTGTTTGTCCAGACGTAAACAATCTTTCTGCATGTGGGTTGCTTTGGTAATGATGTAGGCATACCCGCGTATGTGACGAGGCTTTCAAAACAGATGCAGGTGAGTGTCACGTTAAGAGTGACGCCAAAAACAATTTTAAATCCGATTTGAGCAGCCAGACTGAAATCCAATTGGAATACACCTGCATCTAAATGAAGTTTATTCAACAAAGTTCGGGAGGAAGCATGTTCAAGTAATTCAACTAATCGGCGCTAGAGGAGGCTGGTATATATAGCCGTCCCTCACCTCTGTCCCACGACAGCTTCACACCTCCCCATCGCCTCACTCTTGTCTGGTTCCTATCCCAGTAAAAAAGGGGGAAGTACTCTGGGTTTGGGCCAAAATTCCGAGCTCAGAGCCCTCCCCCAGACAGCACGCCAAACAAGCATACTTTAATATACCCGATGGCATGCAGAGATGGGCACAAACACATCAAAAAGTATTTTGTTACAAATTACAAATACTTGCTCATCAAATGTACTTAATTAAAATAAAAAATACTGGTGTGAGAAATGTATTTAATTAAAATACAAGAAATTTGTCATTTGAAAATACAATAAAAATACAATATTTACAAGTAATCATTTGAAGTGCAGGAGACTCACTCTTTATGTTTTGGTCCGGTATTCTGTCCCGGTGCGCCTACGGTGAGGAGCAAGGAACAAGGAGAACGCTGGAG